AATTATTATATAAGAAAAGGTCGTTGAAGTTCTCCTTTATTTGTCGTTATTTATTCATACAGTTGTTGTGGTGCCGTCTTTATTAAAAAGCGAACGACTCTTGGCTTGCTCAATGCATGTTTAGATATTTTAAATGAATTTTTGTCCAATCTTAATGTCTCTTTCGTTTATACATTACATTAACCTGGGTAATATACAGTAAATACTCGCTTTAACGCCGCGGCGATTATTTAATTTTTCCGATTTTGAATGCGGCGCTTATGAGCGGCGTTTAAGTGGGGCGGCGCTTATTAAATATTTTTATTGCCCCAAGAAAATAACGAGTAGACAAAAGCTAGTTTCATTATATCATATTATACAATTTATTGAAAATAATGTCGCATAGACGCAGAACAAGGTTTTCGTAAACTTTAAAGTTTAATAACTCAATATTTCTTCCAAGCTCAGCACTAAAATTACTAAAATACGTACTCTATAAAAATACCGAAAATGTTTTCCATATCTTAAAGTTTTGCTCCAAGTGAGAATGTAAGAATGGCGTGAGAAGAAGAAAGTTCTGGAGTGAAATCATGTTACAATTCTTCTTGTGTTAATTGAACATTCAAAACAAAATTTCCATCTAAAAGTTCCATTGTAAATCCATATTCTCTAATTAAATCTTGCACGTGAGGCAAAAATTCTTCGATAAAACTTTCCTGTACGGATTGAGTCGTTGTGCCATTTTCCATTTCTTCCGTCTCTCCTGCAAGATCATCTTGAACGATTTGTTCACTGGAATTGCTTTTCGTCATGTTCCTATCTTCCAAACTGTCGTGTGGTTCATCTTCTTTATTTTCATCACCACTGAAATTTTTATCGATGTTATAAATTTTTATCGATATTATCGATATTTATCGTCAGGATGGTATAGTCCTGAAGGACTGTTTTGTTGTTGTTGACTGACGTTTCGACAACCTTGGCGATTTCATCTTCAGAGTCAAATGAGGTAAACATCAGTTTAGCCGTATTTGCTATCTGGTTCTTCGGTTAATACGGCTAACCTGACGTTTTCCTCATTGACTCTGAAATGACTACCGCTTCGGTTGTCGACACGTCAGTCAACAACAACAAAACAGTCCTTCTCAGGACTATACATCCTGGACGATCTACACAAACATGTAACGATACTCCCGGGCTCAAACCATTTACTTTAGTATGACTCTACTGAAACCAAGCCCGCACTCATCAACTATCATCATAGAAATCTCGAACTCGTAATGTCAACTAGCAATGTCCGAGTTATACAAATCTTTTTCATGGACTGAAAACTTCCATATAACAGACTGTCTTTTGTTTAGGTTGAGTATCTTCGAGATGACGATACGTTTGTGGAATACTTTAACACATTTCTTTCATTGCCAGTAAGTGTGTCTTAAATATGTATTTTTCATCTTAAAAATCTGGAACAATATCAACAAAGCAGCTGATGACTTAAATTTTATAAATTTTAAATTTTACATAATGAAAATCATTTGAAAGTTGGTCATGATTTATGCTTTCAAATCAGCGTTTATGGTTGAACCATTTTACTGTTGTTTGATGTTTGACCAAAGGAGAGCATCTACCGACCAACATCATATTATTTACAGACAGAAAACTTTGAATAAAAATGTTTAGAAAATGAGGTGGTACATACCCTCCTGCTCACCCTAAAATAAGTGTACTCCCCTCCGCGAACCAATCAGTATGGGATAGATTTTGAAACTAACACATTTTTTTTCTGTGTTAATTATATGAACATCAACTTCCAGTGCTTTCAAACAAGAATTTACTACGACAAACAATCTGGCCTTTTGGAAGAATTTACAGAAACTAGTCAAAGATGATTGTGGAAATATTCAAAAGAGACACGATCAACCAGAAACGAAGTTCAGATCAGTTACTGTGTCACAGTTCTCGATCACCAATCGACTTTAAAATGGTTACAAAAGTACAGATTAGATGAATTCGTAGAAGTATGATTTTCGCAGAATACAAGTTATCAAAAGCTCTTTCATCGGCTGGTAACATATGACGTTTATACTGGAGGCTGTTGATAGAGCGACGATTGACGCAAGGAAGTTATACCTCCCCTCCCTCAATAATGTTTGAAGTGCTTAGTGCAGGCTGTTGATAGACGATTGACGCAGGGACGTTGTACCTCCCTCCCTCAATAATGTTTGAAGTGCTTAGTGCAGGCTGTTGATAGAGGGACGATTGACGCAGGGAAGTTGTACCTCCCCTCCCTCAATAATGTTTGAAGTGCTTAGTGCAGGCTGTTGATAGAGCGACGATTGACGCAGGGAAGTTGTACCTCCCTCCCTCAATGATGTTTGAAGTGCTTGGTGCAGGCTGTTGATAGAGCGACGATTGATGCATGAAATGGTGTTCACTGGCAGATTACTCACTGGGCTAAATAGACTGAAGCCACAGCTCGGGCTTTCGAGAGCCCCGTTATGTCTAGACATGTTTAGGTTTGCAATTCCGTGTTAGTTAAATGTTCTTAATTTAGACCATTTCTGCTGATGAAAATCGAACGATCTGCTGTTCAAATGAACGATAATCGAAACTCATAAAGTATTCGGTTTTCCCAGTTTCAACTGTAAATTTATTCCTTATTGTTGATGCTACGAGTTTCAAAAACAAGCTTGGAAATGCAAAGGCAAAGGAGCGTTAGTTACACAAATGTCATCAAGAGACTGAACATAGTGAAAGGAATAGATATCCTACTTAAACTCCAACAACATTGTCTTAAGCCTGTTTTTCACTAGCCACGTATCGTAGCAAAACGTAACATTGCGCATGCTTGCTTATGAATTTGATGGTCAATAGAAGCGAGCGCATGCGCCATGTTACGTTTTGCTCATACGTTGTCAACAATTGAAAACGGGCTTAAGCCTTCAGGACAATTAGTAATCCGTCACTGAGGGTATTCATGTTGTACTCAACTGATTTCTGCTGAAGATTGATTCATGTCAAATTTCATTTCTTATCTAAGATCATGAAACCAATGTAGATGGTCGAGATATGGGTTCAGTTTTGTCCATTGATAGTATGAAATAGGACTGCTATAGTTTTTGGTTTAGTAGTTAAACTGTGGAAGAAGCTTATGAAACAAAATGATTTTGCATCTGATTTAGGCAAATTATTTCGAGAGAATCACTGGAAATATCTCACGAGGAAAAACATTCATTACTGAAATGAAAACATGTGGAATCTCTTCTAAAGAAAGTTTCAACAGTCATTTGGACGACCAGTTTAGAAGTACAAGTTCCTCAAGCACAGAAACAATCTTACAAAAGCAACGACAAAACAAGCGGTGACATCATCGCAGGTGCTGACGTCAGAACTATTGACGTAAGAAGATGTTTACGGTGCTTCAAATGATGAAGTGCTCACATTAAATGTCTCAGGTAACAGTAATAAAGGAAAGGATTTGATGAAGAAAAAATCCAAGAATGAACATTCAGATGACTTTGTTGAGCTTAAAATGATGAATTGGTAAAGAAACGATGAGGAGTTTTCTTGCAAAATACAACAAGTTCGTTGGATTCTTTGCAATATAACGGTATTTCAGTGGAAAGCGATCAAAAATCAATGATAACGACGTTAACAGGAAGGCCTTGCTTTCATCAAAAACAGCCATGGACAAGTTCAAAGACTTCCTGGTCGACACTAAAGGCGAAAGTTTGCTTCTGCTTTGGCTGCAAATTGAGTATTGGAAACATATTAAAATAGCGAAGAAAGAAAAAAAGGTGAGCATCGTTTGAAACAGAGATAATGTAGAAACAGTGAAATATCGTGTGAAACAGAGGAGTACAATAATGAAACAGTGAAAATATCGTAATGAAACAGAGGGAATTGTAACTGTGAAATGTGAGAGGAGTATGTGGCTGAAGTGAAAATATCAATGTAATGAAACAGAGGAGACACAAGGGAAATAATGAGGGAGTACTGTGAAAGGGAAAATAGAAACAAGGAAGGATTTTGTGAAACAGGAAATTAATAAAACAGAGGGAGTACTGAGAATGGGAAAATATCAGTGTGAAACAGAGGAGTACAGTGTGAAAGGGGAAATGTCAGTGTGAAACAGAGGAGTACTGTGTGAACAGGGAAATATGAGAAGGGAATGCTGGAGAGGAATAATGGAAATGACTGGGAATACTGTGAAATGAAGTGGAGAGTACTAATGAAACAGGGGAAAAATATCATTTGAAACAGAGAGTACTAATGTGAAACAGGGAAAAATATCATTATGAAACGGAATGGGGTACTGTGAAACAGGAAATATCGTGTGAAACGGAGGGAGTACTGTGTGAAACAGGAAAATATCGTGTGAAACGGAGAATACTGTGAAACAGGGAAAATATCGGTAATGAAACAGGGAGTAGTGTGAAACAAAGGAAATACGTGAAACGGAGAATTACTGTGGAAACAGGAAAATATCATGTGAAATAGAGGGAGTACTGTGAAACAGAAAATATTGCATGAAACACTGTCGTACATTTATAACCAGGTATTTGAGCTGCATGCGCATTTGTTCATCTGTAGATATGTTCAGGAAATGAAACAACAATATGGTTCGCCATTGGAGTTACCACGTAAGATAAAGAAAGACATGTTATCAGGATTAGCTGAAGATATGAATGAAGCACAGAAAATCGTTGAAGAACCATTGTTAAACTATTGGTAATTCATTTTATAATGTATAGTGAACATTTGAAATGAAAACAATGCAGGGAACAAAATAGTAATTTGTAACAACTGAACAAATACTAGATAGATTTTCTGAAAGTTTCAGTCATCCTTGAGCTCGCTTGGATTAAAAAAGTTCTCGCCTAGCATTTTTTAGCTTTCCCAGATATTAACTCTGAACATTCTTTTTGTTCGATAGGTGTAAAAGGTTCATGTTGCAAGTAAATATTTCGAAAAAGTTCATTCATCTTCAAAATGTCCCCATCAATACATTTGTACACAATACATATTTCACCATATCCCACCAACGCTCAATACAACCCTAGACCACATCCATACAAAACACCACAATCCCTCAACGCTCAATACATCCATAGACCACACCCATACAACACACCAGAATCCTTCAACGCTCAAAACATCCACAGACCACACCCATACAACACACCAGAATCCCTCAACGCTCAATACATCCCTAGACCACACTCATACAACACACCACAATCCCGTATAGTGAGTTATTCCAGCAGAAGTTCACATTGGGAAAGCAACAGGTCTTTACAACACGTGAGTCGCACGTGCAACAAATGGAAACCGACGCACCTGAGATCAAAGTCAGCGTGGACGCAAAGTGACGACGCCTTATCACACGAACGCTGGGAAGCGACAGCTTGAGGTGACGGATGATGTGATTTCTACAGTTGTGTTACAAGAGATAATTTATTGCAGGAACTTCCTATTTTTATTCAGATACACGCAACGCCAGAGAAGGAAGAATTCGGATTTCAAAAACGACCAATCAGCGCGTTTCCAAGATGTTGTGACGTGGAATATTTTTCACCAATCAGACTTGTCATTGCTCCGAGAATCGCGCCTAGTTTGAGTACAGTCTTGGAACAAAGGTAATCACTCTGTGATTGGCTTATTCAAACATCTAATGAGTCACTCTTCCCATATGACGCTTATCTCGGTCATTCTACCCCCCTCGTCACCAAATGTCAGTTTTAATGTTTCATAAATGATCAAATTGACTCAGGAGTTGGAATATTCACTATATGATTTCTTCAAAGGTGGTATGACGTCATGGACGATGTACGTGGACAGCAGTCACGTGATTCAGTCGAGGAGGACGAAACCTATGACGTAGAGCGGTCGCTACGTGATAGTTTGGAGTACCAGACTGAGTCAGGACGTTTCCTGAAAGATTTCATATCAAAAGAAAACAATAAAGTAAATTATACTCTCTTTTTCATGTTTTAACATTTTAATCCTTCTTTCAAAAGTCGATTTTCTTGTAGTCTATAATATCTTGTTTTGATCTTTGAATGATTCTTGTCTTCAGGGTTATGATTAATTTTCTCTTACTTTTCCAATTTTGTCCGTTTAGTTCTGGTCCAACTGCCTGTCTTTCTGGCAAGCGACGCGAGACTATTCCGCTTGTTTCGAAAGTGGTCCCTTCTGTTCTGAAACTGTGATTTTCAAGGCCAAGGTGAAGATTTTAACATCTTTAGAAAGCTTTGTTAGCTTTATCGTTCTCGAAGTTCAAACTCTAAATTGATGTTTAAATAAAAGTAGCTAGATTGTGAACTGTGAATGTGTTTGGGGATTTTGGGGGATATAAAATGTGAACTGGGAATGTGTTTGGGGATTTTGGGGGGTGTAAAATAGGAACTGGGAATGTGTTTGGGGATTTTTGGGGGATATAAATGTGAATTTTGAAGACGTAGGATTTTGGAGGTATAAATTGTAAACTGTGAATGTGTTGTGGGGTTTTTGGGGATATAAAATGTAAACTGGGAATGTGTTTGGGGATTTTGGGGGATATAAAATGTGAACTGGGAATGTTTTGAAGGATTTTGGAGGTAAAATTGTAAACTGTGAATGTGTTATGGGATTTTAGGGGATATAGAATGTGAACTGTGAATATTTTTGGGGATTTTGATTGATATAACAGGTTTTTCATTTTGTATGAAGATGTGATGAGCCCAATTTCATTATATTTTAGTGGATATACGAAAGATTCTTAGCTCCAGGGAGCGTCTGTGATATCAACGTTTCGTCCAACGTCAGAGAAAATATAGAAACAATTGGATCCGCCATACGAAGATCTGTTTGATGACGTAGATGATCACGTGTTGACGTGCCTCAAAGAACCATGGGATAGTCTTTGCCGTGATGAACGAAAAGAATACGAAATGGTGAGGAATTTATGAATTAATGAAAAACTCCATGATAAAGATACATAGTGTGGAAAGTTGGATAGTAAGAACACGGGGGGGAGGCTGAGACAGATATATGATCTAATTGTTAACGCTGATCAGTATAAACGAAGTTTCATATCTTAGATACCAAAGAGTGAACAGTTGCGTTACATTACGGTGAAATTGAACGACAACAATTCACGACGAAAAATATCTTTGTTATCGAACGAAGTAAGTTCATTGTAAAACGAAATTTTCAATTTTGCGTTTCACGTGTTTCTAAATTTCCAACGCTCGTCAGAGTTTTGCGGTAAAATCACAGACATTTAACATAAAGAAGGTTATCATCAGTGATTTTTGTGCATGTGCATTCCATTGATTCCACTCAGTGTTCCCTGTTTCATTCTCCCCTGTTTCTCCCCCCTCATTGATTATTCACCTCCCTGGTTGTTTTATCTACCCCCTGTTTCTTATCCACCTCCTGGAAAGTTTTTCTCTCCACCCCTGGACAGTTTCCCCTGTCAGTTTTCTCCACCACCTGGTTTTTCTCCCATTTTCCTCTCCACCCTGGATGAGATTTTCTCCCTGGTTTTTCTCTCCGTTGGTTTCCCTCCCCTCCCTGGACAGTTTTCTCTTCTACCTGGACAATTTTCCCACCTCCTTGACTGTTTTCTCCCATCCCTGACGGTTTTTCTCTCCCTGACAGTTTTTCTACCCTCCTGGACAGTTTTCTCTCTTCCCGAATTGTGTTTCTGTTAGAATCTTCTGTGAGCCAAATTGAATTTATCCGGGGTGCACGCTTCCAGTATAAAGGACCAGTATAAAGAAAAAAATTAGCTTTTAAAATTATGGTTTCATTGAAAGGAGCTTGTAAAATGACAGTGGACTTTGTAAAACAGTTTTGTCATATCTCTTTGCATTCTCAACTTATTAAAGTTGTGATGTCCCATTTATGGAGAAAGTGACCTCACGTTGCGTAATGAGTTGCTGCAAATTTGTAATTTGAATGAAACACGCATGCAGAAATTCTCATTATGCAAAATTGACGTCACTTCCTCCACAAATCTTGAAAATGCAGAGTTCTGATTAAACTGTTTTAGAAAGCTCACCGTCATTTTACGAGTTCTTTCAACGAAATTATAATTTCAACATCATATTTATCTTTTATCGTTTTACTTTCCCGAACTGACTTTAGTCTTTATGATGAAATTTCGTTCACCCAACTATCTACCCTCTATCTTTCGACAGTTGGACGATCAAGAAGGAAAAGAAAATTTCGAAAGTGGAAGGTACGGGTGGAAGATGTTAAAACTCGTTACCAGTCCCTCCGGACGGAGTGAGCTTTGAAAGTTTGATGAAAGACAGAGAGGAACTTGAGGGATTTCAGAGGTTTTTGGAGAAAAGAGATCCCAAAGGTTAGTGGAACTTGCTGTTTTTTATGCCTGCCATCACAGTATGTTAGAGCACGTGCTAAGAAGGAGTGGATCACGTGACGTCTGTTGTCACGGTGACCCGGGTCATGAATGAGATATAATTAGAAACAATGTTTGTAGATGTAGATCGTCCTGTTTAGTGCAGTCCTGAGAAGGACTGTTGTTGTTGAAGTTGACTGGCTTTTAAACATCCTTAGCAGTAGTCTTTTTCAGAGTTATTAAACATCCTTAGCAGTAGTCTTTTCAGAGTTATTAAACATCTTTAGCAATAGTCTTTTTCAGAGTTATTAAACATCCTTAGCTGTAGTCTTTTTCAGAGTTATTAAACATCCTTAGCAGTAGTCTTTTTCAGAGTTATTAAACATCCTTAGCAGTAGTCTTTCAGAGTTATTAAACATCCTTAGCTGTAGTCTTTTTCAGAGTTATTAAAAATCCTTAGCAGTAGTCTTTTTCAGAGTTATTAAACATCCTTAGCTGTAGTCTTTTTCAGAGTTATTAAACATCCTTAGCTGTAGTCTTTTTCAGAGTTATTAAACATCCTTAGCAGTAGTCTTTTTCAGAGTTATTAAACATCCTTAGCAGTAGTCTTTTTCAGAGTTATTAAACATCCTTAGCTGTAGTCTTTTTCAGAGTTATTAAACATCCTTAGCAGTAGTCTATTTCAGAGTTATTAAACATCCTTAGCAGTAGTCTTTTCAGAGTTATTAAACATGCTTAGCAGTAGTCTTTTTCTAGAGTTATTAAACATCCTTAGCTGTAGTCTTTTTTCAGAGTTATTAAACATCCTTAGCAGTAGTCTTTTCAGAGTTATTAAACATCCTTAGCTGTAGTCTTTTTCAGAGTTATTAAACATCCTTAGCAGTAGTCTTTTTCAGAGTCATTAAACATCCTTAGCAGTAGTCTTTTCAGAGTTATTAAACATCCTTAGCTGTAGTCTTTTTCAGAGTTATTAAACATCCTTAGCAGTAGTTATTTTCAGAGTCATTAAACATCCTTAGCAGTAGTCTTTTTCAGAGTTATTAAACATCCTTAGCAGTAGTCTTTTCAGAGTTATTTACTATTCATATACAACTCTGAAGATGACTACCATCGTAAGTTTGTCAAATTATCAGTCAACTCGAACACCAACAGTCCTTCTCAGTACTACACTATCCATGACAATCAACCTCTATTAAACATGTAACTGTACTTCAAGGGTCAAACCATCCATTCAAATTGCGTACCTGAGAATGTATTTGTCTCGCTCTTCCTCCGTAGAGATTGCACGCAGGCGTATTCTCTACCTCTCCTATTTCTGTACTACGACATATGAAATGTCCAATCTCAGTAGTATTGGCGGGAAGGGGAAATACTAGCGGCAAATATCAATATGAAACACTCCTTGCGCTTGTTCTGAAACTGTTTCCGTATATCCTACGGACATACTTTTGTAACTTAATCGCCCTAACTCTGTCGTCCAAATGATCGTAATAAAGTAAATGGTTTGAACTCGGGAGTATCGTTACATGTTTGTAAATGTAGATCGTCCAGGTTGGTATAGCCCTGAGAAGGAGTTTTTGTTGTTGTTGACTGACGTTTCGACATCCTTAGCGGTAGTCATCTTCACAGTCAAATGCCTCCGAAAATGCCTCCGCATTTGACTACCGCTAAGTATCTTTACTCGTAGTATTTGACGTTGTGCATACATCGCATTTTGTGTTTTTCTTTTACGTTAACTAATGTCATTATGATTTCTCAAAAGGTTTATTTTATTTGGATGTCACGAAGTTTTAAATGAGGATGTGCATAGCAAAGTTAACAGTTAGGTGACGACAGATGCACACGTCAGCGCAGCAGGCAGCCAAAGAGGTATATGAGGAGTAAAGAGATGCATATACGTCAGCGCCTGAAAATGCCTCCTCATTTGACTCTGACGATGACTACCGCTAAGGTTGTCGAAACATCAGTCAACAACAACAAAAACAGTCCTTCTCAGGACTATACCAACCTGGACGATCTACATTTACAAACATGTAACGATACTCCCGGGCTCAAACCACTTACTTTAATCACCCTAACTTCGTTCAAAACCTAGTTCACTCTACTTACCATTTGGATGGTTATGTGTTAGCTGGTATGATCCAGGTCAGTTAAACGGCAGTTTCCCAAGGTATCAATGATATAGGCTCGTTGGACTATTTTCCTCCGATGCAGTGCTTTAACTCTCCATAAAATAAATTTGTAGTTCACTCAATTTGCTTTGCCATAAGTTTTCACCGTCGCGTTACAAATGGCTGTTTGACTCTTGAGCCTACGGCTCGTATACCCCTTTGGCTGCCTGCTGCGCTGACGTAAGCATCTCTTTATTCCTCATATACCCCTTTGGCTGCCTGCGCTGACGTATGCATCTCTTTACTCCTCATATACCTTATTGCCTGCAGCGCTGACGTATGCATCTCTTTACTCCTCATATACCCCTTTGGCTGCCTGCTGCGCTGACGTATGCATCTGTCGTCACCTATAGACCCATTGCATGTGACGTCACAACCCGGTGACGTATACATCTGGAGGACAAGCAAACGCCACATGTAAATAACAAAGCAATATTATTGTTAAGGATGGTTAACTTTTGCGCAATTTATGGCTGTTCGAAGCGTGCTGATAGGGATAAGGAATTAAGTTTTATCGCATACCAGCTGTGAAACCAATGCGAGCAAAATATTGCAAGATTTACAAAAGAACGTCGTTCTTTGTGGCTTCGAAGAATTCGTCGGGCAGACATGACGATTCTAAATGCACGTATTTACGAGTGTGCAGCCTTCATTTTGTTACTGGTAAGCCAATGAGTTAAAAAAAGCTTTGTTGTGTTCGTTTGTGTCATTTTATACCATTTGTTATTTTGTTTACAACGACAGGGAAACCATCGGCTTTAACGGACCAAACTAATCCAGACTGGGCTCCATCTGAAAACCTTGGACATACATATGTGGAAAAGTTGATGTCGATCGCTATGCTCGTATTTCGGAGAGAAATGAAAACGAAAAGAAGTGAATCCATTGCAACAGTACTGTCAGCAGTGACTAATCGACCTTGACAAACCATCTTGTAAACGAAGAACACGGAGCCCATCTGCTTCATTGTCAGAATCAGAATCGAACAACAAATATTCACAAACAGAACTGAGTTTGGATAAAATAACTGCAATGAAGAGCGAGATCAATCGCTTGACCCAAGAAAATCTTGAGTTAAAGAAGATAGAGTGACATGACGCTTGACGAGAAATCCTTCTTAAATGATGACGAAAAAGTCCTCTTTTACACTGGTCTGCCAAATTGGAAGATCTTGTCAGCAACACTGGAACTGGTACGCCCATACCTTATGCATTCTCCCAAATGCTCTTTATCACCATTTAGACAGTTGCTTTTAACAGTTATGAAACTGCGACTTAATTTAACTGGTGTAGATTTGGCTTATCGATTTGGAAACATCAACAAGGGAACTGTATCAAGAATTTTCTTACAAGTAATTGATGTTCTTTATAATCGATTAAGCCCTCTTATTTTATGGCCTGACAGGGAAGCCTTAAGAAAGACGTTGCCCATGGATTTTAGAAAACACTGCCCTAAATGTGTTGCCATCATTGACTGCTTTGAGATTTTTTGGATCGTGCATTAAATCCTCTTCTTGAGGGCACAAACTTACTCATCCTACAAGCACCACAACACAATTAAGTACTTAATTGCTGTCACTCCCAGGGTACAGTAAGCTTTTATTTCCAGTGGCTAGGAGGAAGAGTCAGTGACAAACATTTGACTGAGAACAGTGGTCTCCTTGATAAGCTCGGCCTGGAGATGTAATCTTAGCTGATAGAGGCTTTGATATCCAGGAGTCAGTTGGTTTGTACTGTGCAACTATCAAGATGCCAGCTTTTACTAAGGGTAAAAACAGCTCAGTGGCATTGAAGTTGAACAAACCAGACAATTGCTAATGTGAGGATTCATGTGGAAAGAGTGATTGGAAACATTAGAAAGAAATATGCACTTCTGAGTTCAACTCAGCCAATTGATTTTGTCAATTCTAAAGAAAATGAGCCACTATGATTGACAAAATAGTTACTGTTAGCTGCACTAATTAACATTTGTGATTCTGTCGTACCTTATGACTAAATAATATTTTTGAAAGATTTTGCATGCATACACTTAAAATTGTACTAATAATATTTATAAGACATTTGATTTTATTATATTTCATTTATTCAATTTTTTGGGGTCTTGAGTACCATTTTCCAGTTAACTCTGGAAGGAGTCCCCTTAACACAAATTTCTTTGCTGCCTCTATGTTCCTTTATACAAATTCATTATTTTGCAAGATTCGTTCAACAAACAAGTCTTTCTCTGTCCACACAACAAAATCACAGTAGCTCAAACCTGTGCATGACAACTGAGCCATAACCTAAAAAAGTGAATTTCTATGCATTAAGCTTGTTAAACGAATTTATGAATACAAGTCTTTTTCTGTCCACACTACAAAATCACATTAGCCCTAACCAGTGCATGACAACTGAGCAATAACTTAAGAAAGTGAATTGCTATCCATTAAACTTGTTAAATGAAATTAGAATAATTTACAAATGTACTTACTTGATAGTAATATGCATGAGTTCTTTCAAGTTGTTTTGTGCCATCACTATTTACTTCAATGCAAAACAACCTGTCATCTGTTGAAGTTTCAATTGTCTCATCTTTATGGCAAAATGGACACTATCAAAACAAAATCAATAGGTGATGTAATTATCATGTTGACCTTTCCACCATAAAACATAGACACAATGAATAACAAACCTTTATTTCACAAATCCCAGCCACAACATTGGCAGAGACAAGTCCATCTGAGAAGCACCAAGAAATCCATGGGTCAAATGAATCCAGAATCCACTGTTTGTTACTGAAACATTTTCATGGTTTGTGTTCAGCCATTTTCGATATTCGTCTCTTGCCACCTCT